CTGCCCCGAGGGCCCGGGCGCGGGGCTGGAGTCCCGTGCGCTGCGTCTCCAGCTGCCCCGGCCGCCTTCTGCACCGTCGGTGCGGTCGCGGGGGCAACTCGGCCGAGGCTCCGCGTGGTCTCCGCGCTCCTCCGCGCTCGCCGAGCCCGAGCTGCCCGCTTCAAGGAGTGTTTCTCTTTGTGTGTGTGCGTGCTTTTCTTTTAAGTATTCTCTTAGGTAGTGTGCCCGGGTGGGAGTGTGTGATAATGCCCCAGGGACATGGTGGCTTCGAGGAAGTTAAGCATGTTCTCCGATACGGAGGAGGCCGTTTCCTAGGAATTCCTGGTGCCCTCCTCCTCTGGCCTTGCCAAGGTGAAGTTTGGCGTGGGCCAGACTAGGTGACCGGCCGAGTCCAGCGCGGTGTCTGTTCACCGCGGTCTCCCCCGCCCCCAGCCCGCTCTCGTCGCTGGAGGCGGAAAGTCAGGGGTTGTAAAGAAAAGGGAGGTGGAATTCTTCACTCTGGGGATTTGCTCTCGGTGGTAAGAGGCTCGAGTGATCTTTCTGGGGGTTTAAAAAAAAGAGAAGCCCAGTTATGTCTCTGCTTTTGTCAACCGAAAAGGTGTGGCTTATGCTCGGAGAGAAGGAAGATACCCCGTTATAACAGGTAAAGATATTCTTAGTATATCATGAGTACTGTTAAGGTGCTTTGGTGGAATATTTATTTCTGCCTTACGTTTCACCCGTTTGTTATCAATAGTGACATTAAAATACAGAGTACTGAAACGTAAATGTGGTTATTACCTTTCACATCGACTAAATGAGCAGTAATTGATGTTATGCTATTTCAAGGTATTAACAACTGCTGCTAAAACCTTTGTATCCAGGATGAAATGATGTTTATATAATGAGCATTTACTGTATGCTTATTAGTGGGTTAAAAATTACACCAAGAGGTGAGATTGGTTTAAGTTTAGCAGGCTGCAGAATCAGGGATGTTGTCCTGCTGCTGTTTCCCTAAGGCTAAGAGAGACTTGAAGTAACTGAGGGCAAAGCAAAACAATTTACTTATAGCTAACTCTTTCTTTGGAGACTGCAGGTAATGGGGGAGGGAGGAGTTGGCGGGGAGTGAGAGAGTAATCCTGGGTTCTGAATGTATTTGAATCTGAATGTAAGTGAATTATTCAATTAAGGAATTGGAACCTTTTGTTTTTGGAAACAGTATTACAACCATTAGGATAATGGTAATTGCTGGTTTCCTAATGATTTTCTGGAAATACCTCCCTTATGAATAAGAATGTACCTAGGTGCTCTAGATGATATAAAAGAAATAGAGGAGGCATGTATGCTTGAGGAAGATGTGTATTTTTACATAGAGAAATAGTGTGAGCTTTGAGTCATAGTCTTGAGTGCCAGGTCTTGCTGTAATTTATTCACTGTGAGAATATTGCCAAAATATGTATTTAGCTTCTCCCAGCCTCAGTTTTATCTTCAGTAAAATGGATCTGATTGCATATTCCTTATAATCTTTTAAATGATGGGAATGTTCTTAGCATTGTATCTAGCATGTGGTATGTACTTGGGTAATGATGGCTATTGTAAGTTTTTATGTGTACAGTTCTGTAATACATTTAAATACATTTAAATTCAGAATCTGGAAAGAGTCACTTTGGAAAGGGATGATAAAAGTACAGTGTATGGTTGATAGTGGGGAGACAGGACATGTCTTATGTGAGTATGGGGAGTCGTGCTAGCTTTGAGAGAGGAGGCAGCCAGGGAGGGGAGTGTGACAAGCAGGTGACTTGGGGCCAGTGAAAGGGAGAAACATAGCCTCTGACTTTGAGGAGGCTTTCTGGAGAATCAGGAGCTAGACTACTTGAATAGAGATTTTTGTTTTGTTTTGTTTTAGAGAAGGAGGGAGAGAGAAAGAGAGAGAGGAATCTCGATCTGTTTCCTCCTGTTCACTCCCCGGGGATCAAACCCACTACCTGGGTATGTGCCCTACTGGAAATTGGGAATCAAACCCGCCACCTTTTGGTGTACAGGACGACCCTCCAACCCAGGGCCACCTGAATAGAGGTTTAGCTCTGTGTAATCTTAGGCAAATTTTACTTAACCTCTCTGTGCCTCAGTTTCCCCCATCTGTAAACGGGAAATAGGAAGTACCATGTACCATTGTTATGAAAATTAAATGAGTTAACATATGTCAAGAGCCTAGAACAGTGTCTAGTGCATAGTAAGGTTACAGACATAAGGTTATTAATCTTAGATTGTGGAGCTAACATGACTACCACCTACACTTAATAGAGCTGCTATTTATTGTCCGACTCCTGGGAAATTAAAATTTATTCTGCTGTGATTGTCTAGCGGTAGTAACTGAAGGGAGAGGACACGGCAGAAGGATAATAATCTCAACCAGCGGAAGTCAGCTCTCCGGAGGAGATCAGGATGGCACAAATTGATTTTACTTATTTTTTGAGACTCCTGAGATTAAAAAACAGTGTTTTTATGGTGTTCAAGTATATATTTTTCTATTTTTTAATCTTGAGCAGAAAAAATATAATAACTTGGGAGTGGAGAACTTAACAGCTTTGCCTTTAGTCCTGACTTTCTTTAACCTTAGCGCTGCTTGTTGCCTTCTGTACATATGAAGAGCTGCGAAATTAGGAAATTAAGGCAACAATTACTTAGTTGAGGTGTCTTTTCCTATTTAAAATGAATGTAAAATATAAAATGTGATTAAAAATGTAAAATATTAGGAGTATATGTGTGTATGTGACCTACTTTCTGTTGTGCAGTTTTTTGAAAAACGTTTTATGCTCTGTTAGTAAATCCAATACCTAAATGGTGATTAAACTGTAGCTAGGAAATGATCTTAATATTGTACAAAGTGGAGAGCATTTAATAGCTGGGTTCTAGGCTTCCCTACTCAGGTAAAACTGGGGAATATCTTAATCTCCCTAATCTCTTCAGGGCATCAGTTTCTTCATTAAATATTGGGTTTGGTCAAACAGATCTCTGCACCTTTCAAATTCAGGGTTCTTTTTTACTCAGTTAACTAGCTGTGTGTCTTTGGTCAGGTTTCTTAGGTTCTCCAAGCCTGCTTCCCTATATGAAAAGGGAACGAATAGTAGTACCTTTAGGACTTTTGGAGACAATAGTGTAATACATGCACCTCATTTAGCACATCTACAGAGTAAGTAAATAATAATTGTTATCTGGTTTTATTTGCTGTTACTTCTGTATCTTGTTCCTCCAAAACAAAATTTGTAATTTATTCATTTTTCCTTGACACATGGTCTCTTATTGTAAGTCTTCAACCCTCTCCCCCCTCCTTCCCACGCCAACCTCATAGTCCCCTCACTTGGTGTGGTACTTAGGTGATGAATGTTGACCTCATTTTGAGTTGGGGAAATTCTTTTTATCACTTGGGGGTTAATTTTGGGAAGTAATGGAGTAATCATTGGGGTTTTGAGTTAATGCTAATTTAGCAACTCTGAAAAGAGACCAAACATGTTTTACAGAATTAAAGAGAGGAATTTCCCAGCTTCTGGTCTTTGGTCAGCATCCTTTCATTCAGCAGTTTGTCAGGTTTTGAGCTATGTAGGGGGCAGCTGATTTCAAATATACTGAGTTTTAGTCAGTCTTACAACCTGTTCGTCTGGACCTGACTCAGACATTGCTTTTTAACTAGTTTTCTTTTGCTGAGTGCTCTTTCATTACCTTTTCCTGGAGATGAGATCCTAAGGGATTTCAAGACTCATTTATTTGTGTTCATAGTTAATTCATCCAGGTGTGAAGATGTAGATTCCTGAATTGCTGTTCTATTCCTACATCTTGAAGACACATCCTGCAGTTATAAATCACATAAAATGATTTTTATCTGTGAATTTGAAACTATATTGTAGACTTATTTTTAGTGTGCAAATTACCGTTTTACATTTTCAGAGTAATTTACAAATGAATTTTTAGCATTGAAAAATAAGACATCTCTCCCAATGGTGGTGCATACTAGAGATTTCCTCATTTAAACAGTTAAAATGGTTCTGCTGACAATTACTAGATACAAATGCTAGGTACTCAAGGAAGAGCACTGTCTTCTTTTTTTAAAAAATATGTTTTTATTGATTGTAGAGAGAAAGCAAGGGAGAGGGGAGAAAAACATTGATCAATGATCCACTGCCTCCTGCCCCCCCCAGGGGATCAAGCCTGCAACCCGGACCAGGCATGGGCGTGTACTCTGATCGGGCATTGAATCTGCAACCTCTCCGTGCACATGATGACACTCAACCAAGTGAGCCACACCGGCCAGGGCAACACTGTCTTTTTATAGAGGGTGACTGCTTTTGTCAGAGGAGAAACAAGGAAATTCTAAATTTCTTAAAACTCATTCTTATTTGTTCTAATCTGTGTGTGTGTGTATCCCTCTCCTGGAATGGGGAAGTTGCAGGATTGTAGTGGAGACACTTCTGTTGAGTAGTCAAGAAGCCTGCTTTCGACAGGCAACCAACTACTGGGAGAAGGGATTTTTAATTCATCTGTGTTGCTGAAGTGTCATGGGTCTTTCCTAAGCTTTGAAGTGAAAGCTGTTTGTTTAATTCACCTACGAAAATAAATGGTAACTTTAAAAGCAGGGGAAGGGAGGGAGAGACTTTTTAAAATACTGTTGTTTTAATTTTTTAAAGGTTCTTTTTTCAAGTTAAAATTGATCTCTTAAAATTGAAACAGATTTTGTGATGCCACATGAACATTTCTTTCTTTCTTTTTTTTTTTTTTTTTTTTTTTTTTT